GCTTGAGTCCCTGAGGGGGAGGGAGGGCTGAGGGGCCAGGACGCCTGAGTCCCAAGTTGGGTGGCAGGCTGGAGGGCCAGGACGCCTGGGTCCCCGCAGAGAGCAGGGGTGGGGCCGGAGTGAGGGACGGGCCAGTGTGCGGTCGGATGCCTGGGTCCGATCCCAGGCTGGGGCTGGAGCGGGGGGCGGGGGGCGGGGGGCGGAGCCGCCAACCTGCGGGCTGGGGGGGGGGGGGGGGGGCCGGGGCGGGGGGGGGGCGTCCGCTACCTGGGGAAGGGGCAGGTGCCTCCAGCCCCGAGGCGTCCTGGGTCCCCCGGGCCGCGGGCCGGCACAGCCTCCAGAGGCCAGGTGCTCCTCTCGCTCGCAACCTCCCAGCCGGGGCTCCCAGCCCAGGGAGGCAGCCCCGGAGGCAGCGCGGACTCCATTTCCCGGCAGGCTCCGGGGCCGGGATGCCCCCACTCGCCTGGCCCAGAGCCCCGAGGACTGCTGGGAAATGGAGTCCCCGAGCCCGAGCCCGGGAAGGGGGCCGCGGGCTGCGGGCTGATTGGGGGTGCAGGGCACTCGGTATCCCAGCGGAGGTTAGAGAGCTGGCGGGCTGAGAAGCGCTGCGGAGGAGAAGGCTCCCTCCAGTCGGCGGCTGCAGCTCGAGAGCAGAGCCGGGCTGAGGCTCCGTTCTCCTCACTCCCGCAGGTCCTGTGGCATCTCCCAGAACGTGGGGGCCCGGGCTGGGGGGTCGTCTCCCCTCTTCTCTCCCCAATGGGCTCTCCCCGCCCGCCCCGAATGCCCCCTAGGACTCATCAGGAATGAGGATAAGGTGAGCGCCCCCCGCAATCCTGCCCTCCTGTCCCTCTCGGGCTCAGCAGCCCTCACTCGGTCCCCTCTGCTATCTTGCATCTGCACACCCCTTCTCTCTCTCTCTCTCTCTCTCTGTTCGCCTGTCTCCTTTTCTGTCCATCCCCCATCTCCGTCTTCGGCCATCCCTCTCTACTGTCCCTGCCGTTCCCTCATCGGTCTCCCCCTCTATCTTGATTCTCTCCTGTTAGTGTCCCCCTAAAACCCAGCTCTCTGTCTGTCCCTTTTATCCATTTCCACATCCCTTACCTGTCCCCTCCTTTGTCACCCCTAATCCCCCTCTACTGTCTTCCTCCTATCCGTCTATCCTTTTTCTCTGTCCCTCCTTGGCCATCCCCTCTGTCTTAGTCTTTGGTGGCTGCCTTCTTAGCTCCCCAGCTGTCTAAACTTTCTCTCTTCCCCCATCTGTCCACGTTTCATCTTTGTCCCTTCCCTTTCCCCTGTCCTGACTTCCTATCTATCCCTTTTCTCTTTCCCCCATTCACCTCCCTCTCTCAGACCTTTGTCATCTCTCTTCACTCTCTGTTACTTGTCTGACTCCCCTCTTGGCCCATATAGCCTTTGTCTGAACCCTGCCCCCATTCTGTGCCTGTCTCTTAACACCCTCCTTATCTCGGTCTCCCTGTCCATCTATCAAAACTGTCTGCTGTTCTGGCCACCTTTGATCACATCCTTCAGTCTCTCCCAATCTCCTGGTCCCTAGCTGTCTCCTTGCACATTCTCTTGTTCTGTCACTCTTCCTGTCTCTTATTGCTATCCCTGGCTAGCCTCTCATCTCCTCCTCTGAGCAAACCTTACTTTTGCCCATTTCCTCTCCTACTCAGTCTGCCTGTTTCCTATTTCTGTCCATCCTTTCTCATGTCCCCATGTATATCTACCCCTCATCTTTGCTCCCTTGCTCACCATCCCCTTTTCTCGCCTCCATCCCCCCATCTCCTTCCTCGATTCCTTTCTCATCCCCTGCCCTTCTCTGTTCCACAGCTGTACATTCCTTTTTGGTCCCTTTTCCTCAATCCCCATCTGTCAAAACTTTATGCCTTTCTGTATCTGACCATTCCTTCTGTAGGTCTTTCTGTCCCCCATCTGCCCATCCCTTCAATCTAGCCATTGTTTCTACCCATCCCTTCTGTCACCTGTCTATCCATACCTTCTGTCTGTCCTCTCTGTTCATTCCTTCTCTCTTCGTCTCTTCTCTCTTTCCTCTGTTCATCCTTTATGTCTGTCTATCCCTTATGTCTAGCTTCATTTGTCCATCCTTTGCCTGCCCACCATCCCTTGGGTCTGTCCTCATGTGTCCATACTCCCATCTGTCCATCCTTTATTTCCATTTTCCTGTTAGGTTATTCCTTTTCCTTGTCTATTTTTTATCTTTATAGCATCCTCTCTGTCTGTCTTTATATCCAGCCTCCCAGCCAGCCAGCTCTTATCTCCTCTTTCTATTTAACCATTCTCCCAGATGTTGACACATTCTGTCCAGCCCTGATCTCTACCCCTATGTAGCCATATCCATTCCCCTCTCCTATCTTCCTAGTCTTTATCTCTGTTTCCCAATCTGACTTTTTCTTTTTCCTTCATTCATCACTTCTCGATGTCCCCATCTGTCTAGCCTCCTCCTGTCCCACCATCTGTCTAAACTTTCACTCTGTCATCTTCCTTCCTGTTTACCCCATATCTCAGTCTCCCTGTCTACTCCCCTGTTCCTATTCTTCTGTCCATCCATCCCATTTCTCTTCCCTCCTTTTCCTATTGCTATCCATTCCAGTTTCCATTCCTATCCATTCCCCATCCAATTAAACTTGATGTGTTTGCCCTAAGTATTCTCACCTTATCTTAGGCTCTCCCCATTTCTCATCCTTTACCTCTTAGCTTGTCCCCAGCTGTCCCACTATCTCTTGGCTCTATCACCACGTATATTCTTCCTTCTATCCCCTTTAGTTTTGTCCCTCACCCCTTATTCCTGACTCTCTCTCTCTCTCTCTCTTCTTTCTCTCACTGTCTCTGTCTGTCTGTCTGTCTCTCTGTATTTCTGTCTCTCTCTGTCTCTGTCTCTGTCTCTCTCTGTCTCTGTCTCTCTCTCTCTCTCTCTCTGTTTCTCTCTCTTTCTCTCCCCCTCCTTTCTCCAGGACAGGATACCCAGCAGCCATGTCAGGGGACTATGACGATGACCTTTGTCACCGGGCTCTGACCTTAGTCTCTGACCTGTGCTCCCGGCTTCAGGATGCTGATGAAAAATGCCAGGAGTTTTGGCGGAGGCGAGGCTACCCCGGACCCTCAGATGCAGGTCTGTCCCCTAGAAGACTCCTGTCCATGCTCCTGCCCTTCAAAGCCCGTATGTCTACCCCACTTCCCCACCAGATCCACACTAGCTATAATCTTTGAGACAAGGGCCTTTGCAGTACTCCCAAGGTACCCAGAAAGGTGAGCTTCTTCTAACTTTCCCCAAAGTGGTGGATCTGGATTCAAAAGACCGAGGTTCAGATTCTTTTCTCCCTGGCTGCCCTAAGGCAAGCTCCTCCTTCTGGGCCTCCAAGAGGCTCATTAGTAAATTAGAGATCATGGACCAAGCGTCCTGTGAGGTATCTTCAACCCTCAGTCTGTTATCCCATAATCCCCTTGTCCCAGCTTCCCAGCTTTGCCTTTTAAGGGAAGTCCTCCATGTTCTCTTTCCTCCTGCCCTCATGTCAGCACCACCTTTGTCGTGTCTGATGGCTGGACGTCGGGGAAAGGGGAAGGGCTGCTGTTTGGTTCTGGCTCTTCTCGTCTTCCTGCCCACCCCCCGCTCAGACAGTCCATCCATCTGGATGGATTTGTGAATTAGTCAGAGGCGCACAGAGAGAGAGGGACAAGAGAATTAAGGAGAGAGGCGAGACAGGAATGAAGAAGGGCCTTGGTCCCCACCACCCCTCGCAGGCTCTCGCTGGTGTTCGGCCGGCCTTATAGGATGCCCCTTCCACCTCTCCCCCACCTCCAGACATCTCGGTGAGCCTGCTCTCAGTGATCGTGACCTTCTGTGGCATTGTCCTGCTGGGTGTTTCGCTCTTCGTGTCATGGAAGCTGTGCTGGGTGCCCTGGCGGGACAAGGGGGGCTCAGCCCCTGGGGGTGGACCCCTTCGCAAGGACCCTGGGGCTGGACTGGCGGGGCTGGTGGGTGGTGGGGCCGGTCACCATCTGGGGCCTGGCCTAGGTGGCCCACATCATCTCCTGGGTGGGCCCCACCACCATCCACCCTTCTCTGAGCTCCTAGAGCCCGGAGGGCTGGGGGGCCCTGACCCTCCAGAACCATCCTACCTGGATATGGACTCTTACCCAGATGCCGTCACAGCAGCCGCCGCAGTAGCGGCTGGGGTCAAGCCCAGCCAGACATCACCTGAGCTGCCCACTGATGGTGGTGTTGGAACTGGTGGGGGGCTCCTCCTGGTGCCCCCTGGGGGGGGTGGGCTGCCCAGTGCCCAGTCCCACCAGCAGGTCACCAGCCTGGCCCCTCCAACGAGGTAAGGAGCATCTCCTCGCTCTGTCTCTCCCTTGGTGCCTGCATCTCTTTGTCTCTCTTCATTATTCTGCCTCCTTCTGTCTCTTTATTGATGGCTGCCCTTCCTGTCCCTCTCTCTCGAGCTCCGGGCATCTCCTTAGGGCTTTCTCTTCAAGGAGTGTCTCCCTCTATCCTTCTGTGCATCCCCTTCTGTGCCTATATGACTCTCTCTCTCCCTCCCCCATTTCTCTTCCCTCTCTTTCTCTCCTCTCTCTTCCCTCACCCTCTCCCCCTACCCTCTCTCTCCCTCCTCTCTCTCTCTTCTCTTCCTTTCACTTCCCTCTCTTTCTCTCCCCCTCTCTCCCTCTCACCTCCACTCTCTGTCTCTCTGTCTCTCTCCCTCTCTCTCTCTCTCCCCTCTCTCTCTCCCCCTCTCCCTCTCCCCTCTTTCTCTTCCCTCTCTTTCTCCCCTCTCTCTCACCCCTCACCCTCTCCTCCCCCCCTCTCCCTCCTCTCCCTCCTCTCTCTCTCTCTCTCTTCTCTTCCTTTCACTTCCCTCTCTTTCTCTCCCCCTCTCTCCCTCTCCCCCCTCCCCCTCCCCTCTCTCTCCCTCCCTCCTCTCTCTCCCCTTGTCTTCCTCTTCCCCCACCTCTCTACCCACTCCCTACTTCCCTCCCCTGGTCTCCTTGCTTTTATCCTGATGGCTCTCTCCCTGCCTAATTCTTTTCGGGTGTCTCTCTGTCAGTGCCTACCTGCAATCTCTCTCTGACCCTCTGGATCTGTTTCGTCTCCTTGCATGTATCCATCCCTGTTTCTTTTTGTGTTTGGGTCCCTCCCTCCCACTGCTGATTCTTTGTGCATTTGTCTGCTTGCCTTTGCCTCTGGGTCCTGTCCAGCCTCTGGCCCCCTAGTTCTTTCTGAGTTGAGGCCTACAGTTGCAGGTGGAGGGTGGTTGGGAGGCCAGCCCCTCCCTGACCCTTTCTCTGCCTCACCTCCCACAGGTACCCAGCTCTTCCTAGGCCCCTCACTCAGCAGCCTCTGACCCCCCAGCCCCCAGCCCCGAGCCTCACTGAGCCTGAGGATAGACCCCCAGCCCCAGCCCTGCCTCTCCCCCTGCCTGCAGGCGAGGAGAAGGCAAGGCTCATTGGGCAGATCCAGCCTGAGCTGTACCAGGGGGCAGGGGCCGGAGCCGGGGCCGGGGGCCGGCGGGCAGGGGCCGGGCCAGGTGGGGGGCCGGGGGCCGGACGCTTCAGCTTCGCCCTGCGCTACCTCTACGGCTCCGACCAGCTGGTCGTACGGGTCCTCCAGGCCCTTGACCTGCCAGCCAAAGACTCCAACGGCTTTTCCGACCCCTATGTCAAGATCTACCTGCTGCCGGACCGCAAGAAAAAATTTCAGACCAAGGTCTGGGTTGGGATGATGGGACCCCCAAGAAGAAAGAGACTTAAGCTGTCTAGGTCCCAAAGTGGGTGGAGACTGAGGGCCTGAATGACCCAGCAATAGAGGGAGGGAACAGCCTGGAAACTGAGGTCCCCCATGGGAGCTGGAGGCAATGGGAAACACCAAGCACTGGGTTCTAATAAGGGAGACCTGAGGATCAGACATCTGGGTCTTCCAGAGGAAGGGCGATAGGGAGGAACGATGGGGCGATGAGGAGAGGGCAGGACTTGGTGTCAGCAAGACCTGAGTTCAAATCCTACCTCAGACACTTACGAGCGGCATGATCATTTGACTCGCTTCCCTGACCCTCAGTTTCCTCATCTGCCAAGTGGGGTAAATCATTGCACCTCCTTCCGAGGGTTGTTGTGAGGATCCCGTGAAATCATGACTGTCAAATGCTCAGCTATAATGCTAAAGTGTTAGAGGAAAGGCAGCTTCATGTCATAGCTAACTGTGCAGTCTGGGGCCCTGAGGGGCCCGGGGGCGGGATGTCCAGGTCCTGGGAGCTGGGGAGCTGGTGCCTCGGTCTCTGAAGAGGCCAGGCTCTCAGCCTCCTCCAGGAAGCTGCTCCTGAGCTGCCTTCCCCCTTCCTCCATCCGCAGGTGCACAGGAAGACGCTGAACCCCGTGTTTAACGAGACCTTCCAATTCTCTGTGCCACTGGCAGAGCTGGCCCAGAGGAAGTTGCACTTTAGCATCTATGACTTTGACCGATTCTCGAGACACGACCTCATCGGCCAAGTGGTGCTGGACAACCTTCTGGAACTGGCAGAGCAGCCCCCCGACCGCCCACTCTGGAGAGACATCATCGAAGGCGGCTCGGTCAGTCTCCCTGATTGGGCCCAACACTCTGACCTCTTGACCTCCTTGACCTCCCAACCTCCAGGCCCCCAAGCCCTCCTGGTCCTCACCTCTGGACCTCTTGACCTCCCAACCTCCAGGCCTCACCGCTGGGCCTCTTGACCTCCCAGTCTTCCAGTCCCTAAATTCCAAGTTTGAAGGGTTCTAACTCTGGCCAGATGATCTGGCTCCTCCCCTCCTGTTCCAAGCCCAGCCCTGACCTTGGCCTCAACACTCCCACAAATGCCATCTTCCTGATGTCCCGACTTCCCGGCCATCTGACTCCAGCCCTTTGCCATCCTGACCCCCAGAGCCTTGCACAGTCCAGTTTTGACTCCCCAGCGTCCTGACCTTTTCTTCTGCCTTCTGGACTCCCAGATATTCCAACGCTCCCTCACCCTACCCCTCGAGGGCTGAGTTCTTGACATCCACCCTCCCCAGCAGACTCACTCCCAATACCCCAGCCTGCCAATTCCTCACGTTCTCATCACCCCTCATTTCCCAGCTTCTTGCTCAGGGCACCCAGGCAGACTTCCTCCTCTCCTCCCTCTGGACATCCTGGCCCCAGCCAGGCATGTGTTCAAAATGTGGAATCAGAAGACCTGGTCTTGAATCCCAGCTCTGGCAATCTCCAAGCCCTTCCTATCTCTGGGCCTCAGTTTACTTATCTGTAAAAAGGCTAGGCCATTTCCAATGGCTCTTCTAGTGCTAAAAATCAGACCTTCCCAGTTGTCTACACCAGGTCCTGACTTTGAAACCCCACGTGCCCTGACAGTCACCCCAAGGCAAGCAGACACGTCCTTGGCCCCGTTCTTTATCCCTCCAACACCCGGACCCGGCCTAAGCCCGTGTGGGGTCTCTGAGTCCTGCCCTCCTAGGCCCTGTTCCCGGATTTCCTGGCCTCCATCTCCTCCTCCCCCAAGCCCTCCAGCCTCCCCCCTTTCCTCTGCTGATTCAGAGCTCCTGAAGCCTTCTTCAGCCCGCTGGCAGGCCCCTCTCCACCTCCCCGGCTCTCTCTGGGTAACCGAGGCTCCGTTTCTCTTCCGCTCTCAGCTTATCTCCATCTCTCCTTGTCTCAGGCAGAGTCCCCTCACGGGTCTGCGACTCTGCCTTCTGGCCCCTGTTTCTGTCTTTGGGCCTTGGCTCCTATGAGCCTTTCCCTCTCCCTCTCTGCTTTCTCTCGCCGCCCCTCACCCCACCAGCCTCAGCCCTGGCCTTGGCTACTCTTCCCATCTTCCCTGAAGAACAAATGGGGTTTGACGGGTCCCTGGGGAGGGGGGCTGTGGCCACAGCTTTACCAGGCCTGGCATCGAGACAGGCTGTTAAATGGATCGAAAAGCTGAGAGCATTCAGAGAGCAAAGGCAGGAACTGAGATGGAGAACACGGGAAATCAGGAAGTGGAGGGAGGGAGGGAGATGGAGAGAGACACAGAGGACTGCAGGGAGAGATGCGGAGACATGAGGAGGCAATAGTGGGAGAAGCCCCCCAGATAAGCGGGGAGAGTGCCCAGCTATCCTGGGCCCTTCTGGTCCCCCAGGCGGGCTCCATCCATCAACAAACACCTACAAAGGGTCATCTGTGCATCTGGCATTCTCCACACAAGACGAAAAGCAGAACACTTCCTGCCCTCAGTGAGCTTACACTCTATCCAGGGAGACGCAGCCTTAAGTCCACACAGGATACATACCAGATAACTCGCTTTGGGAAGGGGCGGCACCAGCAGCTGGGGGGGAGTCGGCAAGAGTTTCGTATAGAGGTGCCTTTTGGGCTGAGCTTGGAAGGCTCACGGGTGCTGAGGCAGGGGTGAAGGGGGTACATCCCAGCTTCGGAGGACTGCCCGCACAAAGGAGCTGCAGAACACCAGTCTGGATGAAGGGCGTTGCTGTATAATAAGCCAGGGAAGGTGGGTTGGAGCCAGCTGGGAGAGCTCTGAAGATGATAGGGAGCCCCTCACTGCAGCTGACTGAGCTGAGGAGTGCCCTGGGAAAATTACTTTGGAAGCTCTACGGAAGAGCACCAGAGTGGGGAGAGACTTGAGGCAGTAGCTTGGGCGAAGGTGAGTGGAGAGAACGCCATGGACCTGAGAGGTGCGGGCCCAGGGACAGGGAGGAGCCAAGATGACTGAGGGCTGGGCGCCCATGTCCCGGAAAGACGAGAGCTGAGGGAAAGCTGAGGAGCTCCACTCGGCCAGTGGGGAGAAGGGACCTGGAGCGCAGGGGGCCTCCAGCCTGGAGGCCAGCTCTGCTTCTGGTGAGGGGGGGGCCTTTGGGCGGGTCTCCACCCCCCGAGGGGTCACACTAGCCAATCCTCGGAGGTCTCTCTCCAGCTCTCAATCTGTCGCTCCGTGCAATGGCGGGCAGGCAGTGGAGGTTAGGGGGTGGGAGAAGAGCCTGAAGGGCGGCCCCTGGGCCTCTGGGTCAGCCTGGCCTGACTGCATCCCTGCCCGCAGGAGAAGGCTGACCTTGGGGAGCTGAACTTCTCCCTGTGCTACCTCCCCACGGCCGGGCGTCTGACCGTGACCATCATCAAAGCCTCCAACCTCAAAGCTATGGACCTCACAGGCTTCTCAGGTACCGCGGCAGGCCTGCCCTGCTCTCCCCACCCCCCAGCGGCCTGGAGGGGCCCTGAGCACTTGAGGAGAGGGGGCATGAATGGAAGGGTCCCAGGGAGCCCCAGCTCAGGGGTGGCAGACACTTGGTCCCCTAAGGACTTAGGGGGAGGCCTAGAAGCCACATTGCCTGGATGGCTGGATACCAGAGAGAAGGGCTAGGAGCTTGGATACCTGGATCCTTGGGAGACTCAGCATCAGAGAGGGCTGGAAACCAGGGCCCACGAGGACCCAAGCACAAGGGGATTGAACACCCAAGTCCCCGCAGGGTGAAATAACCAGGGCAGGAGCTAAGAGCACCGCCGGGAGTCTGAGTCCAAGGATAGCTAAGGATTGGGGGCTCTGGAGAGGGTCTGAGGCCCTGCTCTCCCTGCCTCCCTCCTCCCACCACCAGACCCCTATGTGAAGGCCTCACTGATCTCGGAGGGGCGGCGGCTAAAAAAGCGCAAGACCTCCATTAAGAAGAACACATTGAACCCCACATACAATGAGGCACTGGTGTTTGACGTGGCCCCTGAGAGCGTGGAGGCCGTGGGGCTGAGTGTGGCCGTGGTGGATTATGACTGGTGAGCAGGGGAGTGGGATGGGGATGGGGCCTGGGGCTGGTGAGGCCTGGGCCAGAGGCAG